GCCTTTTGCTAATTTAGGTCTCCGTTATAATAATTATAATTTTATCTCAATTGTACATTTAGGGGCATCTTAATGTGTTGTGTCCTTCTATTAGCCACTCATGTTTAAGCTAGTAAATTTCAAATTTCAAATGAAAAATATGTGATTCCCTTTTTTTGCAAATATTGTTTTGTTGTATATATCCCATGCAAATATTTTTTTGTGTTTTTTTAAAAAGTGCTTGTTGTGACTTCAATGAAGTCAAAAGTGAAATACCTATGATTATTTTTAAATGTTTTTGTAATTTTTCTTTGTGAAAACCCTTGTAACTATATTTGTTTAGCTCTTTGAAACTAAATTCATATCAAGTGAAAAAATTTTGGTATGTAAAATATATGTGATTATTTTTATGTGATAATTTTTTAAAATTTATGTGAAAAATGTAACTATTATTTTAGAAGTTGATTTTAAAAATTTATACTATTATTTTAATTATTTTAGAAGTTGATTTTTTAATTTTTTTAAAAAGAATTTTAGTTCTCACTCAATTGCATAAAACATCATGTATTGTTCTAATTTATTTAACAATACTCCCTTTGTGTTTGGATTTGATCTTCTCAATTGACTTTTCTTGTCAATTTTGTATACTTAAACACCAATATACAGAACAAACTTTGTCTTTCGGTAGAAATACATTACAAATATCTTCTTTTTGAAACTAAGAAATCTCTTAATATTTGGTGACTCCTATTTTGGAGAAAAAAATGTATTTTTATTACAATATTTTCTCCATGTTTATTCTTATTCTGGTACAGAGTAATTTTTTTCCAAAAAAATAATAGCAACACTGTACATAAGACATATACTCCGTATACAACTTAAATTGGATCTACTCATATTTTGATTAAAATTGTCACGTCATTCAATCGTTAATAGGTGGCCGGTGATCTATTAAAATGTTGCTATGTAGATTCGTCACTTCTCGCAATTCTAGGAGATTAATTCTCAAATTTAATATGCAAAGATTCAGAAATATTTACCAAACTTTTAATTTCATATTTTCCACATCAAAATCTATGTGACATATTAGGTGTTGAAAAGAGGCTCATGAGTAAGCCACATGTCAGTTCTTAATTACCCGAGTCTCATTTTTATACATTTAGGAAAAGATAAAAAAAATTGCATATTTTTCCTAATTTTTTTATGTTCATTATATTTATATATTTGGCTAATTTAAACATATTCTGTTTGTATGAGAATAATATTAAATATAAACTAATCATTATTAAAATTGTACATTTTTCCAAAAAAAAATTACTTTTTTAAATCTGCACTAAGTTAAAATTTATACTGAAAAAATATATTTTAAATTAACTAATCATCTATTTGTGTTCAACTTTTTCTTCTTTCTAAAGAATATTTTGATCTAGTTTTTAAATATTCTATTAAATGTATGTGAAATTAATATATAGGTGAAGTGTGTATCTTATCTACCATTATAAGTTACGTTGTAAATGAAAAGAAGATTTTTTTCGTTTTAAATTCAGTAGTCAATATAATTTTTGAAGAAATATGTGAAATCTTATTTGTTACGGAGTATTTTTATATTAAATAAAGTTATTATAATAATAATTAGATCAAAACTTTATTACTAAATGTTAAAAGTTCTCATTTTTAATTTGTTTTAGTTTGTTTTGATTTATTTTTGTTTTCTATAAAAATGATTTAATATCCTTTTTATTCAATTAACTAATTTTTAAGCTTAATTGGAGTCCGAGCAAGACATTATGGTAAAAAATTTACTGAAAATTTTGTTAGTTAAAATAGAAACTTTTCTTTTTTCCATTAATAATTTTTATTTTATGCAATATTATATTTATGTTTCACTAATTTTATTAAGTTACATAATTTTTTTATTATATCATAAATTAGTCGAAGGAATGTTCGATTCAATTCTCTTGATGACATGGCTGATTAGGTGTCAAAAAACATTCCAGTCATCACGCCAAATGTCGTAATTCTGAGAGTTTAACTCTCAAACATTATATATAAAGGATTATACTCCCTCCGTCCCATATCTTTCTTCTCACTTTCCTTTTCGGGCCGTCCCACTTGATTTTTTCCGTTTCCTTATTTGGCAAATAAAATGTATCAAAAAGACTAATTTACCCTTCCATCAATTCATCCCTTTTCTTTGATACCAACCCCTCCCACTACCCACCTACACCTCCCTACTCCCTTTCTCTTTTCTTCTTTACCCCCTCCCCATGGTTCATGGACCTTGATTCTTCTTCCCGTCACCCCCCTTCTTTCTTCCTTCCTTTCTTTCTCTTATTCTTTTTTCTTATTCTTTTTTTTCTCTTCTTCAATTTTCACTCTTGTTCGTCAGCCCCTACATATCCCCCCTCCGTTTCTTCTCCTTTGTCAGAGCAACTCCAAGGGGTAGTCTATATTGTAAAATATACACTATATACAATTTAATGTTTCCTTTTCAATACTCCAATGGATAGGGTAAACCAAGTGGTAAAATGCAATGTAGTGTAAAAAGCAATCTCCAAAGTGCATTTTTACAAGTTCACTATAGATAGTGGAAAGAATAAAAATAATAATTTTCTTCATTTTTTTCCTTCCGTCTTCTCCATTTTCATATGTACAAGGTATTTATTAAGTCTTTTTTAAAAAATCATTAAAAATAAGTAACTTAAAACAATAAAATATTATAAAAAATATATTATATAGAAGATATGGTTGGAGTAAGTATAAAAAAATGGAAATGTAAAACACTATTGATAATGTAAAATGAAGTTTACACTACCAATTTTTACACTACACCTTGGAGATGCTCTCAGACGCCTCCCCCGTACTTTCTTCTTCGTAATTCTTCTGAGTTGTTTGGGAAGAAATCGTTTCTAATTAGTTAATCCCATAGTTAAATGGCCAAATCGCAAGAACTTTTGGTAGATGCTTCAATATTTGTATAAGAAATGATTCTATTGCACAGATCGTTTGGTAGATCTACCAATTTATACAGATCTATCAATTTACCAATTTACGAAATTGGTAATTTCGTTCAATAAAATTCTTACGATTTTGTTCAATAAATAAAATGGCAAAATTAATTGGCCAAACGAAGAGGATGTGTGGCGATTGTGGTTTAGAAAACAAAGAGGATGTGCGGCGATGAAAGCAAACTTCAAAAAGAGATGGATGTTCCTGCGAAACTAGCACAGGTGTTGGGGTGGTGTGAGATAGAGAGGAGAGGGGATGGGTCTGATGGAAGACGAAGAATACGGACTGAGATAGAAGAGTAAATAATTGAGGGGCAAATTTGGAAAGTCAAAGCATTTTTTACTCTACATTAAAAATCGTGTCAAGTCAAAACGAGAAGTTTCATCTTGGATGGAGGGAGTACATGATAATAAATTACTTTTAATTAGAAATAATAATGAAATCATACTATCGTGTGAAATGATTTGTTAGGCTCACTACAATTTTACAAAAATAAAGAAAAAAAATAAACGACCGTAGATAAAGAAACAAAAATTTTCAAACAATAAATACAGTAATTCTCAATCACTTTTGTAATTGGCCTCTTTAAATTGCGTTTTCAACTCTGCCCTTCGAGTAAAACATGGGGTTGTTAACGGCTGTAAAAAATATTGATGAGAGGTCATCGCTTTTGATGCTAAAATTGAGAGCGATAAGAGTTTATAATGTTCCCGCCCATACTAGGGGACCTAATCATTGGATGTAATTTTTTATGATTCTAAGTTAGTACTTTCGTTAATATGAATCTGGAATACGTATACATTAACAACATTGTAATGATGGTAATATATGTTTTTTTCTTTGCATTGTTAGGGAGATCGAATACATGCGCAGCTCAGAGATTTGAATATACGTTAATATGTTTTTTTCATTGCAAATATGACGCGTGCAGCGCACGGGTGTGATACTTGTTCAAATTAAGTTAAAATATTCTTACCATATAATTTAATAGTCTATGTAGGCCTTTGTTAAGTTATAAAAGTCAATGTATGTTTTTCTAAGTATACGTGAAATGATGAAGAAATGGCCCTTAATAGGTGGGCTTCGTTACTTGGAAAAATGGATGAGTCTTGAGCAGAGAAGTTTTATTTATTCATGGTCTCAAACAAAGTACATATAATAACAAAATACCTTTCATGTTATTTTGTTTTTAATGATTTTCATTTAGGTGAAAGCATTGCAAGAAAAGAGCCACACAGTGGAAATGAGTTGAATCAACAAAATAAAGGACATCACTATGTTTCAAGAGGTAAACCATCTAAACACCTAGTGCAATCCACATCCAGCTTGTATGTCATTCTTTCATTTTCACTTTTATATTTTATCGACAAAGATCGCCTTAAGGGAACAGGTAAAGCAACTGCGAAAACTTCATTTACAGAAACTGGTTTTCAACCACAAAATGAAGTGCCCGTATCAGCTAATATATCTAAATCATCTACACATATATACATCATTACCATGTTAAATATGATGTAAATGTAAACAGATAATTTTGGAATATTTTGTGATAATCTTGAATCCCACAGGACATATTGAAGGTGACGAGGAAGTAAGTCTTGAAACTCCTCTCACTGTGAGAAAGGAAGTACACAGTGGAAACAAGTTGAATCAACAAAATGGAGGAGTCGATCAATCTGAAATTGATGACCTTACAATTGAATCAACGGCTAATCAATCTGAAATCGATGACCTTACAATTTGAATCAACAGCTAATAAATCTGAAATTGATGACCTTACAATTGAGGGTAATACAATCACTGAGAAAAGTCATGATGAGGATTGATGGAACAAAGATGATGAAGCTGAGAGCGATGAACTTGAAGATGTAGACAGTGACGGGCATTAAAGCTTTGGACTATATCTTCCATATCAATGCGTATTTTAATTTATTTCACTTTGACTATTTATACTTTAGCTTGACACGTAATATGCAAATGATGAACTAATTTTCATATGTTGATTTACTTTCTAGTAAATGGGTTAGTTGTAACCCTTTGAAATTTTATCGTATTATGTATTGTTGTTAATACAAGCATGAGTACTATTTTTTATTTGTCAATGAAATTCTTTGATATCACTTAAATAGAACATGCTGGTGTGAAACATGGTATTAGTAACAGTTATAATAAGTGTTAATGTTGGTCAAAATAAACTATTACCGACAAAAAATTGTTTTACTCACACAATTTTTTGTGGGTAATCCAACTTTTAACGACAATTATAATAAATGTTAATGATGGTAAAAATAAGGTATTACCGATAGAAAAGAAAGATTTACACACACTAGTTTTTGTCAGTGATCCATGTTTTAGCCACATTTATGTTTTATTGGTCTCCTCTCTTTTTTAGCGACATCTTTGGTTTGTCGTTATTACACTATTTTAGCAACAGTATATTTTATCTGTCGGTAATACTTTTACTGACGGAGTTTTTAGCGACAGACAATTATCTGTCAGTAAAAGCGAGTAGGGCCATATATTAAACCTTTAGCGACATATTGACCTCTATCGGTATTGCCTCCTTTTTATAGTGCACAAATGAATTTGGTATTGTCTGATCCTGGATTACAATTAAGTTTCAAAGAAGACAATTTCCAAAATCTTTATGTTTTGCTATGACTATCAATAAGAGTCAAAGGTCAAACATTGTCATTTGTTGGATTATTTTTGACCAAATTAGTATTTACCCATGGTTAACTTTAAATGACAACTTCACCAAAAATGTGGTTTACCCTGATGTTTTTCAAAAGATTTGGATTTAACTTACAGATTTACATGTTCTTTTCGATTTATATATAGATGAATTTAGGTTAGCTAATGTTGATGGTTTTGATGGTGTATCATTCATTAAAATTTTACATTTCAATATTGTATTTTGCTTGAGTTTTCAATCATTAACTAAGAATAGACAAATAACTGAGTAAAAAAAATTGTTCGATCCCATGCATGACACGGGTCAAAGTACTAGTCCTTACTATAATATTTGAGACTCGCTTCATGAGAGTTCCACATGTGGACAACACATTTGACCATTTTTTTGACACATCAACATGTCATGTCATTTTTAGAGTATGTGCTGATAATTACTTTTTGCTATTACATTTCTACTAATTATAATGACTCATTTTATAACATTAATAAAAAATTTATGTGTTTTCAATTTTATGTCTTAGTTACCTTTTTAAAAATTTATGTCTTTGTCATAACTAAAGGTAATTTGGGGTGATATGTTAATTCAAATTTAAGTTTTAATTACAATTAAATCCAAAATTTGCCTTATTTAAAATCAAGTTTTATAGTTTACCAAGTTATAAAAATATAAGTTTAACTATAATTTCTTGCGTTATATAATTTTCATAATTTTTACTTGATGATGGAAGGATAACACACTCGAAATTCTCAATCCTTTTGGCTCTAAGTGAGTACTCAATGTGTGCCATCAAACAAAGAAGCACGAAAGTAGAACTATTTCAACAAGCAAAGCCTAATTATATAAGATGAAGCATGTATGATGAATAGATTTGCTTTTGAGGTAATGGATCCTACAATGAGAGATATCACGGGGTTCTCTAATAGTAACTCAAAAAATGAACCATTTAGAGAGAAAAAAGGTAGACTCGGAGGTGACTTTTACCATATTCTTCTAGTTTTACTCAGAGCTTCAAGAGAGAAAATTGTAAGTGTTACTGTCAATTTTTCAAAACTGTGGTTGTATTGTAAAGCTTATACATTGATCAAGAATATGAGATTGCATTCATCTACGTCTTCTTGCGCAAATAGGAACACACAAGCTTTTTCTGATTTGATAACCAAAGTCAGAGATGGAAAACTAGGTCAGATAATTGATGGAGATAGTGATGTACGTTAAGATTCCCACGAAACTTAGATTCTTGACACAAGTTCTCTTATCAAAGGTGTAGTACGCGGACTTCACTTATTTGAATATATTAGAGAATATGAATACTTATTCCTTTTTAGGATATGACACTATTAGGACTAACTCTCGAAGTAGGTTAAATGATACACAAATTTCTCATTTCTCTCATTCCTAGTGAATGAAAAGGAGTACTTGAGTTCTAATTCTTCATGCCAAGCAGATGCAGATTCTTCATGGCGATTGATAACCATTCAATTTTTGAATGAAATGAAATTTTCGGGAATCCCAAACTACAAAATAATTTTGAAAAAAGGGGTACTGATTTTGTCATTAAGGAACATTGACCAAACATCTAGATTGTGTAATGAGACAAAATTAATCATTGAAGAGTTACGAAATAGCATTATCAGTGCAATTATGGTTTTGAAGAACTGAGTCAGGGAAAAGGTTTAAAAACCTAGAATGAATTTGATACCATCTGATCTAAGACTATCCATGAAGTTTTAGAGATGACAATTCTCAATAGCTATATGTTTTGCTATGACTATTAATAAAAGTAGAGGTCAAACATTGTCATTTGTTGGATTTTTTAACCAAGTCGGTGTTCACTCATGATTAGTCATGTTCAATTTTATGTTTCTATTTCACGAGTGAAAGCAAAGATTTGGTTAAGAATATTAGTTCTAGATGATAATGAACACCCTTGCAACCAAACCAAAAATGTTTTATACTCTGAAGTCTTTCCAAATATATAGGTTTAAAATAGGTACTTGACATGTTCATTTTTTAATTTATATATAAAAATTTTCATTACCACATATTAAGTGCTAAATTATTTGTTTTAATTTGATATTAATGTTTATAATGGCTATAATGCTAAAGAACGCATTAAATATATTTTCATTAGTTCATTTCGTTCAATCCCGTGCGTTGCATGGGTTAGAATCCTAATCCTTTATCCTTTATCCTTTATATATATAAAGCGGACTCCAAACTACAGAAATGAGACATTTGGCGGAGCTGTAGCGCGACATGTGGCAGAGCTGATATGTCATCTTCTTAAGCAACTAATGATGAGATGGAAGGTGAGTTGACATACATACTCAAAAAAAAAGAATAAGAGGGAATTATGCACAGAAAAACGGTGCTCCTCTTCTTCGCAATCTTCGCCGATCCCATTTCATTTTCTTCTTCTATTTTACTTTCCTTTGCCATCTCCTTTCCTTTTCTTTGAAATTTCGAGACAAATTAGCATAGAAATTAATCACCTTTCCTTGCTAGGAATGGAATTCATGGACACTCATATGATGGGATCGGCGATTAGCATAGATATTGATTTGGCGTACCCATTTACTCTCGATTTGAACCCAAATTCCGGTGAATCACTGGTTCCTTCCCAATATCAGGTATGAATTTCCTTCATTTCATTAAATCGACATATTCTGTTGGTGATTTCTTATTGATTTGATTTTTCCTCGAATTGATAGGGTTCTTCATTCTTTACATATATATAAAATACTCCATGGTACACCTACACACACACCATAGCTTCTATATCAAGCACATATTCCTTTCAATAATGTAGTACAATATAATCTCCGAGTCCAGTTCATCAAGATCACCCCTTCAATTTTACTTTTGCCAGGGCAAAAACTATTCATCTATTGTCCAAGATCAACCCAACCCTACGAGTGAGTGCTGATGGATTGTGGTTCGTGTCGTTAGGTTGTAAACGTTACCCACATTTGGCGATGAGAGAACCACGAACTCCATTAAGATGGTCTTCGTGGATGAACATGCAAGTCCAAAATTATATTTTGGTTGTATTTAATTTGTATATTTCTAAATTTGTCATATACTTTTATACTTTTATCTTAAAAAATAAAATAATATAAATTTTTTAAAAATATACTACCTCCGTCCCACTCTCTTTGTCCACTTTTGACTTTTAGAACTGTTCATCTAAGCAATTTGACTCATCAAATTCTCTCAATGTGTAAGCCTAAATATAGTCATGTGTGATCTTGTTTGATTTGTCTTAACATATAGATTATTAATATATTATTTCTATAATTTTTTAATATACAAATTACAAGATAAAATGGATTAAAGAAGTTCATTGGATGGTGTGCCAAAAGGTAAGTGGACAGAGATAGTGGGACGGAGGGAGTATTTTAGAAATTGAAAATGTATACTATGTACTCCCTCTGTCCTATAATGATCTTTCCGGTTCGCAAAACGAAGAAAAATCCCAAATTTTTTCAATCTATTTTATTTAAATATTGGTATAGAAATAAAAAATAAAACATACATATTTAAAAACTACACCAAAAGTTCAACAAAACAAGTGGTGACAAGAATATTTTATTTTATCATATAGGCCATGAAAAAACACAAATAAATATAAATTCCCGTGAAGTTAGAATAGTGCTCTGGGAAGATCATTATAGGACGGATGGAGTATATAAAAAGGCAAATAAATTGTTAATCGATAAAATGCATTCTTTTATATAACATAGGCCTTATCTATAAAAGGATTCAAAAACAAAACTCACTTAATAATAAGAAGAATAAATCTAGGGGTACACAAAAAATGAATAATCTATTTGTATACCAGGCAAACACAGAAACTTAGTGTCTGTGATCACAAACATTAAGTGTCTGTGTTTGCCTGGTGTAAAAATGAAGTACTCCACTTTAGTGTACCCTTACCATGGCTCTAATAAGAATAATATATAGAGATAAATCTAAATAATTTTTTAAAGTCATTATTGAAAACCAGTGGAAAAAATTTAAAAGTTATGAAAAAAGTAGGAAAAACTGAAAAAAATTAGGAGTTAAAAGAAAGAGGGAGAAAAATGTTGAAACTCTAGAAATAGGCACATCAGCTTCCAAAATGTTCAGACTCCAGCCGTGCGATTAATCCCAAACTGGTTATGCCATGGAGTAGACGAATACTCCGTAGTATAGGTTGCTGCTTGGCCTCTCTCTCTCTCTCTCTCTCTCGACAGCAGGTTAACTTAAAGGGAATAATGGCTTCAAACCGATCGAGCAATGGAAGATCGCCACTAGTCAATCAACAGCGGCAAATCACAGCTTTTTTTGCCAAGAAAACATCTTCCACCCCTTCATCTTCTCCCTCCCCTTCACCTTCCTCTCTCTGCCCCAAAGTTAACAGTACAACCCCAAACCCTAACTCTCTCACCTTCTCCAACCCACCTGATTCCAGCCCACCCACGAAGTCCCCCCTCGATTCCAAGTTGAGTAAATCTCTCTTAGTCACCGGACAGCCTCCAATTCCCGATTCTACTAAGACTTCATACCAGCGAGAGGTTCTCAACCGGAGGATTAGGGTTTATTGGCCCTTGGACAAGTGTTGGTATGAAGGTTGTGTAAAATCTTTTGATGAGATTTCGGGGAAACATTTGGTTCAATATGATGATGATGAGGAGGAGACGCTGGACCTTTCCCAGGAAAGGATTGAGTGGATTGAGACTCCAGTCGTTAAGAAGTATCGCCGATTGCGGCGGCTTGGAGTGGCCGAGGATGATGAGGAAGAAAAGTTGTATGTTATTGGGAATGTTGGAAATGACTTTCATGATGCGGAGTGGGAAAATAGTGTTAGTAAAGAAGCAGACGGGGATAAAGATTGCATAAGTGATATGGATTTAGAAGCCCGGGAGGAAGATAATAATGATATAGGGTTAAGAATAGGATGTCCAGATCTGGTCAAGAAGACAGAAATAGGGAAGAGGAAATGTAGTGAAGGGCATACGTTGCCTTCTACCTTGGTAAAGAAGATAAAAAGTGGCGGAAGTAATAAAAGTACACAAATCAAGGCACCAACTACTACTAATCGAGAATGTAAGTGATACAAGCTGATTTTTTGGGTTGATTACCTGCTCTTATTTACTTTACTGGGAGCTATCCTTTGTGTCGGTTATTGAAACTCAGACAATATTCCTATGAAGCGTCTACAATTTACTAAGAGTATTGGAAATATGCCTAGTTTAGAACACCAAGATGTATTTTGTAAATTTTACTGTAGTTCATTTGACATTTTTCAATCTCTGAAATACACGGGTCCATATGTCGACCTTTTGAGTTTGGAGATCTTGTCCGTGTTCAAGCTCTTTTGTTTGAATGCTGACTTGTTCCTCGAGTTCCAAATAGATTAGAATCAATATAGTAGCTGCTATAAAGACTGCTACTCTGATTGTAGATGCTATACTCAAGGATAAACATTTAGCCATCAATGCTGAAAATGGAGAATTATCTGGATGTGTCTTGTTGCAGGCTTGAAGGAGTCAAATACTAATACAGTTTTAAATGACAATTCAATGGAAAGATTTAGCACACGTGAAATGGAGAAGTTCCCCTTCCTCAGAAAGTAAGTTCTCATTTCATTGCTTCAAGTTCATGTCCTAATGCAATCTAATATCTACATATATGCCTTGATTATAAATTTGATGTTGATTGGCTGACTTGATAAAAAAGGGACAGGAGAGATGCAAACCGAAGGTGCATTGGAGATGTCAATTATGATTCCAGGACTCTATATCTCCCCCCTAGCTTTTTAAAAGGTCTAACTGGTGGTCAGGTATATTTATTATCGAGAGTTGGTTGGAGCTTTTCAAAGTCTCTGTGTGAAGTACATAAAATATGTTTGTGATTTCTAGAGACAATGGTGGGAATTCAAGTCAAAACACATGGACAAGGTTCTTTTCTTTAAGGTACTCATTGAAAATACGGGTTGTAGCTAAACATTAGACTTGTACTGTTGTTAGTTGAAATTGTAACCATACTTTGACTGTTGAGTCAGATGGGGAAGTTTTATGAGCTGTTTGAAATGGATGCACATGTTGGAGCCAAAGAGTTAGACTTGCAATACATGAAGGTAGTTAGATTTTACACTCCACGCTATAACTTAAGGTTGCATAAGTTTCAAACCAATGATGAGAGCTGGTTACTATTCATTTGTTTTCAATTTTTTTTTATTTTATCTACTGATGGCTTAATCTATGTTCTTTTGGTAAGAAATTTGAACCATTTTGATGCATGTCTGACCATTTTTTAAGGTCTCATTAACTCTTATCTGTGTAGGGAGAACAACCTCATTGTGGTTTTCCAGAAAAAAACTTCTCGATGAATGTAGAGAAATTAGCTCAAAAGGTTTACACTGTACACTCTAATTGAATACTGTGATAGTTATACCTTTTTGGCATTTTATATTTTCAGAGATGACAGGATTTTATTTTGGTGTGTTTGGCATAGAGCAGGGTTATAGGGTTCTTGTCGTTGAGCAAACAGAGACGCCTGAACAACTTGAGTTTCGTCGTAGGGAAAATGGATCGAAAGACAAGGTCCATACTTGTGGGCCCTAAATGTTTTTTATTGTTTAGTGTAAATACCTTTGTAACCCAACTCTTTGTACAATTCAATGGAACCTATTATTAATACAATGATTTCAATTAATGCCTCCCATTTTATTGTTTGTTTTCATCACACTTTCAGCTATGCAATTGGCTACCACCATCTTAGCTCCTAATTTTTCAATTTCAATGGTTAGACTACTTTGTTCCAAAGTATTAATTCGGTTTGACTTTTTTCTGTCAAATAGGGTGGACTTTGATAATTAATTAAATAAACATTGCTTGGGAGGAGGAGTATTTCTTTGCAATTAATTAAGAAGAGTCACATTTCATTGATCAATAGGTCGTGAAGCGTGAGGTATGCGGAATTATCACAAAAGGAACATTAACTGAAGGTGAAATGCTCATCGGGAACCCTGATGCGTCATATCTTATTGCGGTGAGTGAAAGTAACCAACAGGGACGAACTTATGGGGTTTGTCTGGTTGATATTGCTACGAGTAAAGTTATCCTCGGACAGGTATGACATTATCATTAATAAAACTTCACAATTCTATTTAAAAGATTTATATTTGCTACATTTTATGTGGTTTTGTGCTATAGTTTGTAAATGACAAGAGGTGACTTCAAATATCACCTTAATATGTAGTAGATATAAATTATTGAAACTGTTACTATAGTACTGCATATGATGGGAAAAAAATTACCTAATATACTTCAGAGTTGCGTGAGAGTTGCATGACAGTTCCCTTCAGTTTCAGATATCTAGTCATATTCATCTCAGAGCTTTTGAAAATCGAATGCTAAAATTGTATTATGGACCGACTAAATCATTCTTGCCAAATTTTAGTCATCGACCACTTCGGCATGGTCGCTTGACTCCTGTTGTGAAGGTATGTGATAAGTGATAAATATTTCTCTTTTTACTCTGGAATTGATTTTTTATGTCTTCTTTCATTCAACACTAGTCTAGTGTTTTTTTTAAATAAGTTGAGTGGCTTTTTTTTTTTTATTATTTTTGCCTTTTTTTTGAGCAATGTCTAGTTCATTTTTCTTATCTTTCTTCGCGTACTTTATGTTTCTTTCTGTGTGCTCTCTGCTTCTCTGCTACTCGAGTTGGGGGTCTCTTGGAAACAGTCTCTCTACTTTTGATTAGAGGTAAGGTCTGCGTACACATACCCTTCCCAAACCCTACTTTCGTGGGATTATACTAGGTTGTTGTTTCCTTTTTTTCGAGCATCCTTTCTTTCATTTGCATCTTTTTCCAATACTTTATAAGGCACTTGGGTTTAATGTGTTTTCTTCTTTTGACTCTTTTTCTTCTTAAGTAGTGTCAATTTGATTTTTTTCCCCTCTCAACCGTCTCTCAAGCTATATATGATATCTATTATTCTTATTTTGGTAGGAGGGTGGTATGACTTTTATGAGATAGGTAATGACTTCTTTGTTTGTGTGCAAATGAAGAGGAGGTAGAGTGAAGTAGAGTTAATTGGGAATGCTAAATATATTCACGATAATGGTTCATTTATTTGGTGAAGTCCACACCACATTTCTTATTCGTTGTGTAAGAAGGTATTTTGATTTTTGATTCCATCTTTTGCAAAATCTTCCTCTCCATTCCTCTTTGTTAGTTCTTATCCTTTCGTCTTTATAATGCTCAATTTGATCTTTGATTTTGATTTTCATATCTGGAGTTTGATTTTTGATATCTTAGTTTTATTTCCCATGTTTGCCTTTTTTTGGGAAATTTGGAAAAAGTTTTGTTAAAATAAAAAACATTTACGAATGAATCGACATTGAAAAAGAATAAAGAGTATCACGTATTGACGGTAAGATTATAGAGACAAAGAACGATAGCTAGTAAAGTTGAGAAATTTGTGAATACAAGGGTCTAAAAGTATGAAAATGGCCTTTTGCATATGATTTTTAAGTATGAAAATAGCCTCTTTGAATATGATTTTTAAAAGTATTATTAAGCTGGAGCCTTCTATAGTACTCCCTCCGTTGAGGAAAAATCTTCCCATTACGCGTTGCAAGTCTTGACAGACTTTATTTTTAATTCAATTTATTTGATTGTAGGTGTACATTTGATTGTAGATGTAAAATTAAAAAAATAAAATTTATATAGTAAAATACTACTTAAAAGTTCTACAAAACAAAATGAGACATGACTATATTATTTTATAAGATGAGTAGTGAAAATAAGCAAACAAAGTGATATTTGAATAAAACACAGAAAGCACACATGCAGAAGCCACAGACTACACTTTAAATGCACCCGAATAAACTACAAACTAAAGCCAAAGGTATACACAACTACTCTAATCCTAGGTTTCTAGACGTTCCTATTTAAAATCATATGCGCGTTGAGATCCTGAAGTTGTAATTCCTTTCTAATCACCTCCTTCCAACTCTTCATAGGTCTACCTCTACCTTTTCTCATGCCCACTACCGCAAGCCTCTCACATCTCCGCACTGGGGCCTTAGTGCTACTCCTCCTTATGTGCCCAAACCACCTCTCTTTAGCTTTCCGCAGCTTATCCTTCACAGTTCCACTCTCACTCTTCCCCGAATATTCTTGTTCTGAATAGATACATGACCACACATTCACCTCAACATCCTCATCTCTACCACTTGAAGTTGATGAATGGTTTTCTTCCCGTAGCACTCCTGCTCAAACACAAATACGAAAGACAAAGGTTAACACAATCCAAAAAATAAAAGTAAACCAAAAGGGGTAACCAAAGACTTCGAAAGCAAAAGTAGATATTTCACTCCCATGAAAGTTATTTCAAAATATCTTAGGGGTCAACGTAATGCCTAGTGTACCTTGGTCAAGTGTGACCAGAAGTCATACAAGATTAAGTGACTTAGAACAAATCTATTAATGGAAACCCCACTTTCTTGTTCTAGCTTAAGACCTCCATATTCATTTTAGCATTACATACACAAAACCAACCAATTACTTGTTTTACATAAACTCTTAAACACATTTACAACTATAAAAGTGGTAAGATGTGAAAATTTGTAGCATTATATGGATTTCACAAGCATTCTTATCATTTGAATGCTGAAACTAATTTCTACATCTGATTGAAATATGAATGGATGTGCTGTAAATTGCATGATTATTAATATATTTTATTTAGCCTGGAAAATAGCCTTTGATAATTTGATATGTAAAATGGTCTTGTTTACTTAATGGTCATTTCTGTTTGAAATGATCTGAAATTGTCTTACATCAATGACCAGATCTGATTTTCCTTCCCAGTTTGCAGATGATCCGGATTGCAGTTCTCTCTGCAGTTTATTAATTGAGTTTAGACCAGTGGAAATAATAAAACCTTCCAAGTTGCTTAGCCCTGAAACTGAGAGAGTACTTCTTAGACATACAAGAAGTCCACTAGTGAATGACTTGATTCCCCTTTCTGAGTTCTGGGATGCTGAAAAGACAATTTCTGAAGTTAAGACTATGTATCAACGTCTTAATAATACAACGGTTCCATATTGTCAAGATGAATCAGATAGGGATTGCAATGTGTCAATTCATAAGGATGCTCAATTAGGTACTTTACCGAGTGTGCTGTCTGAGCTTGCTAATGTGGGTGAGAAAGGGATTCATGCGCTCTCAGCTCTAGGAGGAACTCTATTCTATTTAAGGCAAACTTTCCTGGATGAGAGTCTACTCAAGTATGCAGAGTTTCAGTTGCTCCCCTTTTCTGGTTTTGGTGAAATTTCTCAGAAACGATATATGATTCTTGATGCTGCTGCTCTTGAAAACCTTGAGATATTTGAGAATAGCAAAAACTGTGGTACTTTAGGGTAATATATTGGTTTTGTTGTTTAAATCTTTTCAATGTTGCTGGAAGTTCCGTCATGATTTCCAAAAGCTCTACTCTTGTAGGACATTGTATGCTCAGATGAATCATTGTGTGACAGCATTTGGGAAAAGGCTACTGAGGACATGGCTTGCAAGACCTTTATATCATCTGGAGGCAATTAAAGAGCGACAGGATGCAGTAGCCGGACTAAAGGTGTTCTTGACTTCCGAACTTGTTTCAATCTCTGTTTTCCATTAGTACAATAGAATGATAGTGTCGATTGTATATCTTTTCTTTCTTGTAACTTGTTTCTTTGCTGATAAACATATTTTCTTTTTGTTACGATATACTCCCCACGTCTCAAAATAAGGTTCCCATTCCCTATTCACAAGGTCAAACTATATCCTCTTTTTTACACATTTTCAGTGATTGTTTGAGAAAAGAAACGAGTTAAGTTACCACATGTTTGTAGAACTTTAGATGTAGTTTTTAAATATACTCCCTCCGTCCGGGAATGATGTTCCCGGTTTGACTTTTCCTCATCTGTTAGAGGGCTTGAAAAGGGCTATAGAATGACTAAAATACCCTTGTTTAAATAATGGGGGAAGGGGGTAATAACCTGGCCGAGAATGAAGAAGTGGAATGCACTATTTATAATCATTACTTAATATATGGGTATGTTACATCAAATCACAACTTACATCACAAAAATATCCAAAATGAATTCACATTCCCTCCTAGTTTTTTAATCACCCGCCCAAAAAAAGATCTAAAACCCATTCAAAGGGTTTATTACAACCATTTAAACCCCCCAGGTCTTTCCTTTTTCAGCAGCCCCTTCTTTTCTTCATCATGCTCTTCCCCTACTCTTCTTCTTCATCCCCTTCTTCATTTCGTTCCTTTTTCTTTTTTCCTCTTTCATTCCCTTCCTTGCTGTGCAGCTTTTCCCTGCATGTATAAACCATAATGAACCGTGAGATTAACACGAAGAACTTGGACAACAACATAAGGCAACTCATTAGTGATGCACTACTATCACATTCAAAATAGAATCCAGACGGTTCATTCCCAGCTCAGTATGGGCAGATTAACAAACTTGCTTCAAACTTTAAAGTTTGTAGGAAAACTGTCAGTAAAATCTGGGCTATTGCAAAGAAACAATTAGAGCAGGGGGGCTGCCATTGATGTGTGTAGCAAGATTGCAGGAAATAGTGGAAGGAAGAGGGCTGTTATGGATTTAAAAGTTGTTGCAGCTGAGGAAGAGGACTAATCTGAGAGCATTAGCAGCAACAATTGGGAAGCCTAAGTCAATAGTTCATGAGTGGGTAAAAAGAGGTATCCTTAGGAGCCATTCTAATGCTATCAAACCATACTTAACTGATGCAAATAAGATTACAAGGCTGAGGTTCTGTTTAGATCAGGTTGACCCTTACAACATGACCAGTTTGCCTAAGTTTAAAGCATTTATCAATGTTTTACACATTGATGAGAAATGGTTCTTTATGTCTAAAACTTCCCAGAGGTTTTACCACCTTCCAGATGAAGTAGACCCTTACAGAGCATGTAAATAAAAAAGATTCATAGCCAAAGTCATGTTCTTATGTGTGGTTGGGAGACCACTTTTTGGGGAGAATGAAGAAGTGTTGGGGGATGGGAAAGTGGGGATATTTTTTTTCCCAGAAAGAGTCAAATCTAAAATGAATAGCAAGAACAGGGCAAAGGGGGAGGTGGAGGTGAAAGCAATCACCAGTATTACCAAACAAATCACAAAAGATTTGCTAATCAATAAAGTCATTCCAGCTATCCAAGAGAAATGGCCATCACAGTTATCCAAAGAAATACACATCCAGCAAGATAATGCAAGGCCACACATTCAAGGAATAGACTCAGACTTTGTGGCAGCAGGTAACACCAATGGATTTCACATCACTCTAGGTAATCAACCCCCAACTCCCCTGACCTAAATGTGTTGGACCTTGGATTTTTCAAAGCAATTCAGTCTTTAAAAGAGCAATGTGCTCCAAACACAGTGACTGAATTGTTAGAGGCAGTGGAAGGATCATATAGTTCTCTAAGGCCTGAAACCCTAAACAAGGTGTGGTTGAGTTATCAGCAAGTATTAACTAAAGTCATGGAGTATGAAGGAGGTAACAACTACATGCTGCCACATATGGGGAAAGACAGTCTAGCCATGCAGGGAACCTTCCTAAGTCCTTGACCATAGACCTAAGCCTAATTCAGAAGATAGTTACACTACTTGGACAAAATGGGACTAGCAATGCAGACATGGGTGAGTTCAACACTGAAGAGGGAGAGGAATACCTGTCTTTAGAGTTGAACTGAGTCCATGGGTGTAAGAAAGCTTGTTTTTTTGGTTTTTGCTTTTTGTAAGTGGTTACCATATTTACTTTTGGGGTGTTACTTTTTGTAAATGGTAGCCACATTAGCAGATTACTTTTTGCTTTTTGTAACTACACACAATCTGCTCTATATGTAACTTAAATGTAACATATGGTTTTCATAAGCCCTTTCCCACATCATCATTGCTCATTCTTGCACTTGGTAATACACTGCCATATATGCACTCACATCAAGGTAACTACACACAATCTGCTCTATATGTAACTTAAATGCAACATATGATTCTCATAAGCTCTTTCCCACATCATCATTGCTGATTTTCAGACATTTGGTACTCAGAGTCATTCCATAATTACAAAATGCTCATCAGAGTACATAGTGTTTCTCAGACAATGCAAGTTGCAGTCCTCACAAAATGTGACCAAAGAAGGAATACATGCACACACACTTTGACACTAAATGATACACCTGAACCATTTAAGTGTATGCAATGGTGGTACTCAGAGCCATTTTAGGAATTCAAAAAGCTCATCATAGTACTCTATTCTTCTGAGACAGATGTAAATACCAGTCATCATAAAAGTTTGGCAGGCAATATAGGCAATATAGGTATCACAGTAGACACTTAGCATATTTTATATGTACATGCTCAACACAATATTTACTTACTCATCATTGAATTTGGGGAAATCATATCATAGAGGCATCAATGTATAACATACACATCACTTTGACATTGAATGATATAGTTAAACCATTTAAGTGTATGCAATGGTTTTACTCAGAGCCATTTCAGGAATTCAAAAACCTCATCATAGTACTCTGTTCTTCTTAGACAGATGCAAATACCAGTCATCATAGAAGTTTGCCAGGCAATATGGGCATGACAGTAGACACTTAGACAGATGCAAATACCAGTCATCATAGGAGTTTGCTAAGCAATATGTTAGAGGTTGAGGCAGGATACATCCACACACACATTCAACAATCAAAGGTTCAGGAAGGCAAACTGGTCATCAAAGTACACACTTAGCATATTTAAAAAAACATGCTCATCACAGTTTACACTTAATCATCATTGAATCTGGGCAATTAAGATCATAGAGGCATCAATGTATAACATGCACATTGTCTTCTCAACATAATCAAAGGTTCAGAATTCAAGGCATAAATAAACCAAAAACATTTGTAAGGAAAGGAAAGTAACTTCCCTACTTGTATGTTGAGGCCCAAATGTTTGGATCTGGACTGGGCATTAATATATTCAGCATGTCTAAGTGGAGGTGCATGCTTGATTTCATCAATGGCAAAGTCGGATTCTCAAGAATTTCACTGCCAGATTCATCGCTCGGAATAAAAATTACACAATCTTCCTCATCAACAAGGTCGATTACCACCTTCTCTCTGACCGGGGCAACATCGGCATCATCGTCGCTGTGGTTGACGATCACCTCGTCCTCCTCGTTGGCGTCAGAGATTAATGTTTCGTAAATCACCGAGGAATCCTCACATCCACCTTCTTCAAGATCCGTCTCATAAACAATGGAATCGTAAAGAAAGTCATGCGATTCCATGAAATGGGGCGGAGATCTAGACAATTTGGGGAGGAAGAGAGTATCTAGGGTTGGGAAGATAGAAGATGGAGCAACAAATAGATGCGATTAGATGTTAAAGGCGAGAGTGAATGCGAAGGGTTGGGAGGGGGTGGGTAGATAGGATTGGTTTTGGTAGATGTGAGGATATTTAATGAGAGGGGTATTTTAGGGAGATTTGTTATTTAAAAGTAGAATGGGAGCATCATTCCCGGACGAAAAAAAAGGTAGAATGGGAACATCATTCCCGGACGAAAAAAAAGGTAGAGTGGGAACATCATTCCCGGACGGAGGGAGTGAAAATTTTATGTTTTTAACTCTACACAAAATTTTCAGTTACATTGAATTGAACATAACTTCAGTCAAACAACATAAACCAAAACAAAAACCTTAATTTGGGATGGAATATATTGTTCGCATCTGATTGGGCTTAAAAGGTTTTCACTTTTGGATGATTTGAGGTGTTCCTATCTGCTTATAACTTGTAGGGTGCTAACCTACCGGCTGTACTTGAGTTTAGAAAAGAGATATCACGACTTCCTGACATGGAAAGGCTACTTTCCCGAATATTTGCTAGCAGGTGAAAATATTCAGTGGCATTGAATACAATGACTTGATTAGCTGAATTTTAATCATTCCAATAGATATCTCCTTAATTTGTTCTGAATTCAGTGAAGGTAATGGGAGGAATGCAAATAAAGTGGTATTATATGAGGATGCTGCAAACAAACAGCTACATCAGTTCATCTCAGCTTTAAGAGGTTGTGAACTAATGGCGTGTGCATGTGCCTCACTTGGCTTCACTTTGGAAAGCACAGATTCAAAGCTATTACATAATCTTCTGGTATCTGGTATGCCTAGATTAGCTATCTAATCCTTTTTGTAAGTATGTTTTGTTTGTCGATATCATACTCCCTCCGTCCCTCTATATTCGTCCACTTTTGACTTTTGGAACTGTTCATCTAAGCACTTTGACTCATCAAATTTTTCTCAATGTGTAAGCCTAAATATAGTCATGTGTGATCTTGTTTGATTTGTCTTAACATATAGATTATTAATTTATAATTTCTATAATTTTTTAATATACAAATTACAAGATAAAATGGATTAAAGATGTGTATTGGATGGTGATGTAAAAATGAAAGTGGACAAATACTCTGGGACGGAGGTAGTATTTCTTAATATTTTTTGCCAACCCCAAGTTATGTGGGATATGGCTTCATTGTTGTTTTGTTATCATATTTCTTAATACGGGAATCAGATCAAAACACAACCAAGTATGAGAGGTTATAAATGTCGCCGAAGTATGCTCGAGTACGAGAATCTTGATGTATTGTTATATAATATATTGAAAATAACTTTGTCATAAATTGGGAACTAATTTTTGAGTTTTAAGATTTATTAAATCTGAATTTGATATTAAAAATATTTTTACACGCTTAAAAGATATTAAACTCCCTTCGTCCCTGAGTATTTGTTCAGTATTCCTTTTCGAGACGTCCCTCAGTATTTGTCCACTTTCCTTATATGGAAACAAAAATTAAATGAAAGGTCTAGTATACCCTTACACCCAAATGTGTTGCAAAGGTCCAAAAGTCTCTCTCACCTATCACGTTTTCCATATTTTTATTCCCCCTAATTTCTTATCCCCAAATCCCCTCGTCTTCCTCTCATCTTTCATCTCTTTTCTCCATCTTCATCTCAAATTCACCTTCCTCTCTCATCTCCATCTCTGATTTTTCTTACTCTTCATCTCCTCCGATTCCCACATCTCTCAACTCTCATCTCCAATTCTTCTTCGTCTCTCTCTCTCTCTCATCTTCAAAGTCAATAGTTGATGAGAGATGGATGTGTTCCTCGACGGCGAGCTGGAGCAGATTGGAGCTGGACTTCTTCTCTGCCGCCTACGATGACTAGATGCATTTGAAAGGGATCTCTTCTCAAGATCTAGATCCCCTCCACCTAGATTTCTTTAAATCTAAATCTAAAATGTTTTTTCACAATTTTTTTTTTTGAATTTGCTGTGGATTGATTGTTAGAGAGCTGTAGTTGGAAGCTGGATTGATGGAGGTTTATGGGGTGACGATGAGTTTGGAGTCTGGGTTGCTAAGCTTTGTGCGGCCCCAATTAACGCAAGAATACACAGGAGCTTTGGGCGGTGAATTAAAAGCAAGCTAGATAAGGTTGAGGGGTAGTTGTGTCTTTAGACACCTTATCTTGGTTATTGTGCCACTTTGAAAGTGGATAAAAATTGAAGGACGGAGGGAGTATTTGATAAAATATTATTTTCTCAGTTGTCACACATTGGTGAATCTTAAAAATACTTCTTTCATAGATAAAAATATTAACAAAATCATCATATTCAAAAGAAAAACAACAACAACAACCCAGGTGAATCCCACAACAGTAGGGTCTGGGGAGGGTGTGTGTAAGCAGACCTTACCCCTACTCGGGAGTAGGGAGGCTGTTTCCAAGAGACCCCCGGCTCCACCTGCACAAGAATATGGAAGGGAACACAGTATAACACAGATAAAGCACCAAGTACAAGCAACAAGTACAAGCAATAACAAAAGATTCTAAACAAATACAACACACTACAAAACAACCTCTACAACACCGAGCTCCTATCCAGCTACTCTAATTCTAGTTTTTCAAAGGTTCCTATCTAGGGTCATATCCTCAGTCAGGTCGAGAAGTCTTAAATCCTGCCTAATCACCTCCTTCCAATTCTTCCTAGGTCTACCCGTTTCCCTACTTCCCCCGATAACTGTAATCCTCTCACATCTCCGTACAGGGGCGTCAGCATCCCGCCGTCTTACATGGCCAAACCATCTCAACCTCGCTTCCCGCAACTTATCTTCCACCGGTGCCATGCCTACCTGACGTCGGATAACTTCGTTCGAAATCCTATCCAACCTTGTCTTCCCACACATCCATGGTAACATCCGCATCATATCAACCTTGTCATCGAAATCATCATATTCAAAATCGATATTAAAATTTAAAAATATTTTCAAAGGCCCGGGAAATATTCTTTTTGATAAATTACAATTTTATGGAGGATTCATGAAAATATTTTTAATATCATATATTCATATAGGATTACCAAATCTTAAAAGTTACAAACAAATTTTAGATATGCAAAAAACCACATAAAACAGGTCTGTGCCAAAATAATATTTTATCGTTGGTAAAATTTAATAGTGATAATACCAATTATGAATCAAGTAGGAACACATTTTTTGTGGATGTGATTTTAAACCAAACACTGCCAATGATGAGAATTTAGACAGTTCCCATATGCTTTTACAAGGAGGTATTTAAGTGGATTTTTGTATTCTGCCATGTTCTATATTGGCCAATTTCATACTTCGCTGTGTTTTTGTCCAACCACTCATTCTTTGATGTTTGCAGGTAAGGGACTTCGAGATGTCCAACTTGTTATAAAGCATTTTAAAGATGCTTTTGATTGGGCGGAAGCAAAGAGTTCAGGTCGTATTATTCCTTGTGAAGGGGCTGATGAGGAGTATGATTCTGCCTGTGAATCCATTAGGAGTGTTGAAATTAATCTGTTGAAGCACTTGAAGACACAACAGAAGCTGTTTGGAGATCCATCGGTAAAACATGGTTATGAATTTTTTATCATAAAAATTGATGATACTCCATCAACTCCTCACACCTATAATTTTCTTTCAGATTGTTAATATTCCTTCTACATATGTTTATTGTTTACTTTTGTATGATGATGTAGATAAAATATGTCACAGTTGGAAAGGATTCATACCTTTTGGAAGTGCCAGAGAGTTTGAGCCAGTGCATTCCTCAAGAGTACGAGTTGCAATCATCTAAAAAGGTGTGTATCTGGCAGGTCTATTGTGCAGTCCTATTATATTTAGATTTTCAAATATAAAAACTACAGCCCAATATTTCAAAACTTTTGAAGACTTTGATGAGTTGATCAAGTATATATGAATCTTCATAATTGGGAGGGTTTCATTATTGAATTATTTACTTTCAACAACACCAACAACCGGGTAGAATCCCATGACAGTAGGGTCTGCATAGGGTGTGCTTACACATACCTTACCCCTACTTGAAAGTAAAGAGACTGTTTCCAAGAGACCCCCGGCTCAGGCAACACAGAAGGCACAGAGCACGAACAGATAAGTGAAGGGCGAATTACGAGGAAGTATTTCCTTTCAAATGGTTTATAATTCACAAACAAGAACAGAGCCTACAAAAAGCAGTAGGGAATTAGTTTCTTGTTGAAATATGATGCATACGAATATATAGGCAAAGGATACTTTTTTTAGCGCATGTTTCAAATCAGAAACTTAAATTGGGAACTGGGATTAAGGCTTGGCTAATTTTTTTATTAAAGAAAAGTAATTTTATTTAAAAGATAAAGGGAATACGAAATAGGGGAGGACCAAACCAAAGCCCCTGGAAGCAAAGGCAAATTTGCCTCCCCAAAAGTGGAATACAAATAGAAAAACATGAAAAGGGTCTAAAGAACCCAACAATCTAAACTATTACTCCCTCCGTCCCACTCTTTTTGTCCAATATTCCTTTTTGGGATGTCCGAGTGTATTACTCCACTTTCTATTTTTGGTAAGGGAATAAGTAATACAATGACATATATACCCTCACATGTCAAATTAGCCAATTTAAAGAGTACGGTATATGCATTGGGTGTAGATCTTTGGCAAGCATAGATCCGTCCTTGTTGTCGATAATTTACCGGCAAAGTGTGTTGCTTATCCATTGATTTGCTATGATTTACCGGCAAGCGTAGATGCAGTGATTCCAGTGAGCACCGATCTTCTCGATTTGCCATCTTTGCTTCTTGATTTCCTATTCCGGCGAGATAGATGATGTGAGCACAGTTTTTATTGATTTGCAAACTTTGCTTCTCGATTCCCTATTCCGGAGAGATAGATCTGTCATTAATTTCTTACTCTTTCTGTCTTTATCGGCAATGAGTGTGGCAGATAGACTTGCCGTTATTGCTTCTCAATTGATTTCAAGATCTCCTTGTTGATAACTGCGAGAGTGACGAAGAAGCTAGTGTACAGGTACTCTTTTCAATATCTAAGTGAGTGGGACAGAGAAGAGTCGATCCATGTTCAAGGTGTTGTTGGATTTTTTGTCAGGATTCCACCCGTACGTAAGAAAAATGTGAGGGTATTTTTGTAACTTCCCCTATTGATTTAACATTCCTTGGTAAAAGTGTAAAAAGGCAAGTAGACAAAAAGAGTGGGACGGAGGGAGTACAAAATAAAATACCAATTAAGGATGTCACGCTTCGGATTAGGTTTGAGCCGGCCACACGTGTGTATAGTCCAGTCCAACGCTTCTTTATTGTTTTTTCTTTTCGGCGGCCCCGCAGCCATTTCATAATCAACTGGCGAATTAAATTGTTAACAGCCTCAGGGCAAACTTGTTTATTGATTGAGTTTCAGGGTCAGAACAAATGTCATCATTCCCTTTGAGAAATTTCCCTGGAGTGCCATCCGAGCATCCATTTTGATGCTCCTGTGCAACACCAGGTCATTTATCTTTCGGGGCCGTACTTCCAACATTAACATGCCTATTGAAATTTAGGAATTCAGTGTACTTTTGTTACCCTGACAAATTTTTTGAGGGTTGAGGACCTTTAACCGTAGGGGCCATAGAGTATGAGGCTGAAACAGATGGGGTCAATTATGGTGAAAACCTTGATGCAACACTATCTAAAGCAGCTGGGTCGGTAAGAGCAGAATCCTTAGAGGCCAAATTTGAAGCCTTAATAGCTGTTTCTTCCAAACCATTATAGTCAGTAGGAGCTAATAGAATTTTTGAATTTGCAGTAGTAATATCAGATGGTTCTGAGACAATAAGGGTAGAGGGGGCTGGAAGATTACCATCCGACACCTCACATGGAGCTTCGTTTGCAACGTGGCCTCCCTCAATCTGAGAAATATTAATGTTCTCGTCAACTTCATCATCACTTCCATCAGTAGACTGTGAACTTGAATCCATGGATGGCCTAGCTGAGTTAACCATATGGCCATCAAAAGTGTTCTGAGAGACAGTAGCTTCCTCCAGAACCAATGTTTCTCTCAAAGTTTTAGAAAGACGAGGGGGAGTGAGGTGCTGCCTTTTGATGAAGGCCAACTTTTTATCAGCCCCTGCATTCTTCACAGCTTTTTAAGGAACACTTAAAGAGGCATCCGCTACACTTTCCATGCCAATTTTTGCATCACATACAAAAAAGAGGCACATTTTCATAGTATGCAGGTTGGACAAATGCATGTTTCCCAAAATTAATCCAAATAAACCGAGGTAGATTTTTTGAAACATCATCTTCAACACAAACTCTTGCAGTAGATGGGCGAGAATGATTTAAAGTGGCAGTTTCAATTTCCAAAGGTTTCCCTATCAAGCTTGCTATAGAGAATAATGAGATTAATCAAATAAGCGAATAGGAAAACCCTCCCAATTAATTCAGATAGACATCAAAGAAGAATCTCAGGAATCATCAAAATCAGGACACCAGCGAAAGAAGCCTTAAAACCATTACCAGTCCAGGTTTCGCGCATATGCACCTCAAAAATTTGATTTCAGATTTGAATCTCGCCAGAATGTGTTTATCATCAAGAAGTCCAATCTTTGTAGACGAAGAAAAACCAACCCAATCAAACACGTTACGAATAATGACGAGATTGGGTTGGGGTGTTCTTTGCGAAAGAGGTCAACCAAGGTATGAAAAAATCTAGCAGAAAATGCTTCATGCTTAAATGTTATCCTAAGAGAAGGCCCTTAAAGTGGCCACCCTTTTTTAATCTGAATATCCAGAGATTTGCTATGAAAATCTGAGAACGTGATGGAGGCTTTGATGGAGCCTGATAGATTAGCCGGAGATAAATCAGGGAGGGCAACTGGCTTAGAGAGCCCATTGCGGGCGCTATGGATTGGTTCTCCGGAACCTAGAGAGTGAGGTGCTGTCATTTTCATGCTTGGCTGTTGTTTTTGTAGTAAATAAGGGTGTAAACAGGAAAGCTTGTTCAGAAATCAAAAGTCAATGCCATCTCAGGTAGTCACAAGTTTCTTTTAGTCTCTTATAACATCGTATCACAGGTTTTAAGTAACTATTACACATAGTTGTCACGGTGCCAACTTCGCCTAGTGTAGGTGCGCGGTAGTGTACTCTAAGGATGCCTAGTCGACCGCCTCGGCAACAATCAGATGAGATTGATTGAAAATAATTATACATAAGCAACAGTAACATAAATATAACCCATTTTATATTGTAATTCATAGACTTTAAAGTTCAAATTCCGCAAAGTTTCATATCCATGTGAAAAAAAATATGTAACAGTCAAAAAATCATCATTGTTAGCACTGTGATGAGAAGTTGGTGGCTGTTGTCCAAAGTCATCTTCCACATCTTCATCATCATGTTCAAAAGTCTCTACTTCTTCATCTTGTGATAGTTGTGAAAAGCGCACTTGTGCACGACGAAAAAGGGCTTGTGCATCAGGCTCTGTGATGCGGGTGATGCATTGGAGGCGCGGGCATAACAACACATCATCACATTAATTATGTGATTTGAGGTGCTGTAAGGCGCATGTCTATGTAGAACTGGTGCAGCAAAAAACACGTGCACGAAGCATCATGTGGGTTCTTGTGCGGTGGTGCGCTGGCGGCGCCTTGGGTTCGCTGCCCACTGCTGCATCACCGAGAGAGAAGAAGAAACTATGGGTCCGCCTGAGTTCAGGCCCTCTGGTGTCGCTCTTTGATACGGACATCACCGGAGGAGGAGTTGCTGTCGTCTCTCCTAAATAGTTGTCGTCGTCGCCAATCACGATCACGGGCAGTTGAATCAAAGAAAAAGAAACGCCGGTTGTGAGGGCAGTGGTTAATTAGGAAGAAAATGAAGGGGGGGGGGGTTAGGACAAATAACTACGGAGTCTAGGGTTTACTCACTTTGGGCTTGGTTGTCTAAATTTGGCTGTCTTGTGTTTTATTTATTTAAAATTAAGATAACTGTTATCTTTTATGAATATTTTGAACATAAAGACATGTATTTTAAAAAGAAACCTTAATATAAATAAAAAAATCTATGAAGACATTTCCCGCACCCATTGTCGCACCTGCACCCTATTTTTTATTTTTTTGAAAATTTTCTCACCCGTGCACCAGTTGCACACCCACACCGCTTGAGGCACCCGCACCTGTGCTTCATAGGCGTGCATCTATCTCTTTTTGAAAATATTTTATACTTCAGCCTTTCTCTGCTTTGAGCCTTTCGACCTAAAAATCACAGGTTTCTCTGACTTCCAAGCTTTGATTTTTTTGACTCTTCTCTTTTCTTCGACATTCACCCGACTCTGCTACTTTGAGTTAATTCTTCTAAATGCAGGTTGTTATGGTAGCAAGTTAGCACCTTAGAAAAGTTTTTGGTTTAAACACTAATTTATACTCACTTCGCAGTCAATTCCATTAGAAAGCTTACACTTTCCTTTTTTGTTGGTTTTATTAGAAATCTTACATTTTTTTACTTGTACTTCATATCACATTTTTTATTAGAAACCAGTACCCTATTTCCAACTTTCTCCAACACTTTATTAAATATAAATGATTCTAGATGAGAAGGAACGCCTTTTTGCTTGAGATTAAAGTATTTGGAAGGATTTAAAATTAAGGCCGCTGAGTACAACTTTACTTTCATTTGGTCCGCGCACCTAGTCTCAATGATTTCCATTACTTATCTCAATTTTGTTGGCTTGGCGTGTAAAGCGCCATAGATTTTGTGTTTGGCCACATTCTTAGCCAATGAAAGTTCTGGCATAGCTGCTTTCTCATCAGCATCAACAATCCTCAAAACCAACAAAAATGGGTGTTAAGCACTTAAAGAATCCTCTATCAGTTGCCAAAAGGTAGAAGAGAAGACTAGGCCTCTTATTGCTTTCTTTGCCTCCATTGCCGTCAATCATGATCTATTCCAATCTATACCATTTGTCTTCTCCCTCATTGTTGGAGAAGCCTTCCATGAATATAGATAAAAAAAGTGACACGCATAGCTATTTTAATGCTAGACTTAAAGTCAGACAACTTTCCAATATTTTTTAGTATGAGATCAATGTAATGCGCAACACAAGTAGTCCAAAAAAGAGTTGATCTTTGTTCACATGTCTTTTGTAATTAGAGCCCTTTTGTATTAGAGCCGTTATTTGTCACAACTTGAACGACTTTATCTTTACTGGTTTCGTTAATGTTTTCTCAAGTCGTCTAGCAAAGCGGCATCCTGGGTTTCACCCAACGCATCAACTGACTCCAAGAAAAATGTGCTGTGAATTTTTCACAAGAATATTTATCAAATGCCAAGTTTGGTATCTGTCTATGAATTTGATGTAAGTGTGCAACCATGCTTGTTCCACAAAGAATTATTTCATGTGCTTATGTTCTATTTACCCCCATTTCCTCTACCCAATTTTCAAAATTAAGGACGATTTGGACACTTTCTCTTCTTTATTCATATCTTGGTTAATGTGCCAAAAAGGTGGACAGACAGACTAAGACTAAAGATGTGTATTTTAGTTGTTTCATGAATGGGAATGCGAATAGCTGTTTGCATTTCACATGTTGTGGCACCAAAATGAAAACCGAGGCCCATTTTGGCTTTACTCAGGGCTCAACATTGTGGGAACTCTAAGTAGTTATTCTTTTCATCTCAAATTTATCTTTGTATATTTCTTTCCAGTTGGGTCTCACGTGGCACCAAAATGAAAAGTGGGGCCGTTTTGGCTTTATTCGGGGCTCAACATTTTGGGCACACTAAGTAGTTACTCTCTCCATCTCAAGTTAATCTTCATATATTCCTTTCCAGTCCATTTATTAATAATCTCATTTCTTTTTAAAGAAGAATCTGGCTTGCCATCCCGTTGTACTTGTCTCTGCCATCCCAATGTATTTGCCCACTTTTTATTTCATGCGAACAAAAACATGTAGGCCCCGTTTGGTATACGGAATTCAAAGTATGGAATTGGAATTGAAGACTTCAATTCCAATTCTGGTGTTTGGTAGCACAAAAATTATGTGGATTTGGAATTGATAGTGCAAAAAATGAATTGGAATTGGCAGAATTCAATTCTATGGAATTGAATCCCGTGGAATTTCATTTCCAATTCAATTCCAATTCCGTCAATTCCGTATACCAAACGGACCTGTAATTTCCTATTTATCCCTAGTTCATTTACCCGCTTTTCAAAAGTTAAGGACAATTTGGACACTTCCTCTCTTATATTCTTATCTTGCTCAATGTGCCAAAAAGAAAGTGGCACCAAAATGAAAGTGGGATCTGTTTTGGCTGTATTTGGGGCTCAACTTTCTGGGCCCACTAAGTAGTTACTCCCTTCATCTCAAATTAAATTTCATATGTTCTAATATTCCTTTTCAATCTATTTTTAAGAATCTTTTTTCCTTTTAAAGAATTATTTGGGTTGTTGATACCTTTTTCTTTTTCGAATATATGACACATGAAGATTAATTTGAGATGGAAGGAGTAAGAATATAAGATATAAGTGATGCATGGATGATTCATTCCTAACGCTAAAAATTGGATACTCAGGGTTATATCCGGTATCGGAATCCAGTCATAAGGAAGTTAATGGTAGAGCTTTCTCAAGCTGAAACAGAGAGAGAGTCCAAGTTGAGAACCATTTTACAAAGGCTTATAAGGCATTTTTGTGAACATCATAGTAAATGGAGAGATCTAGTTTCTACTATTGCAGGTGAATATATTTTCCTATAATATTTAGTATTTACCCTTATCTTCATTTGTTTACCCTTCTATAACATTGATTGTAAAATGAATATGCTATGTTTGCCAAAAATATATTTTAATTTTGAGCGTGTGAGGGAGCCTTTTGCCATTCTCAATTCATAAGTTATGCAGCCTTCATGTCTTTTCAAGTCCCATCATTATTTTAGTTGGGTTAATTATATTGAAGGAACTTTGTTATTTATTTCACATTGAATATCCCGCATTATACTCGTCTCAAGGTTTGAAAAGGCATTGCGGCTCATGCCATAGGGTGATCGGCTGTTATTGCCACTCCACTTCGCCTCTAAACGGGCTTGAATAGTTTGTCGCAACAATGCATCAAGTCAAGTCACAAGCAAACCCACTAGCACACTAGGTTTATTTTAAATACGGAGTATTTTGGTTTGGTTCATTATACAGGGAAACTGGATATCCAAGCCTTTGTCCTAGAACGAGGGAGAATTGAAGGCTAATTAGTGAATACATATATTCCAGACAGGGTTGTATCAAAATGATGAAACCGGGAAATAATAGCGTGGATATCTACTTCTGCACTAATTCAAGGCAGGATCAAGTGATCTTGTTTCCATCCTATGTGTAAGATCTAGATCGTGATATAGTTAGATCATACAATGTACCCTACGGTATTTGAAATCAAAATCTAGATCTTATGACATCATTTATGATCAAAATATAGAGCTTGGCATCCTTTCTACCAGCTGCTTTTAGGAAAAGCACAAATCATGAAACAAGAGTGAAGGAAATCATTGGGATTGATTTCCCAATAAATCATAGGAATGGATTTTTCAATAATCTTTGATTGCTTGTTAGACAGAAGGCCCATAGAGCATCCAGTGAGCATCCATTTTGGGACCAAACATGATATTTCTCAATATTATTATATCATTTAAATTTTCTTTTAGTAGTAGTTCAACAAGTTCCATTGGAAGTGTAGAAGACCAATGTTGGTGTGTTATGTTTTCAGATCTGGATGTGTTGATCAGTTTATCCATTGCCAGTGATTATTATGAAGGGCCTACATGCCGCCCACATTTAAGGGAACCACCCACTCACAATGATGTGCCATGCCTTGTTGCTAAAAGCTTAGGGCATCCTATCATTAGAAGTGATTCTCTAGATAAAGGAGCATTTGTCTCCAATGATGTAACACTTGGTGGTACTGAACATTCAAGCTTTATCCTGCTGACTGGCCCTAATATGGGAGGAAAGTCTACTCTTTTGCGCCAAGTTTGCTTGGCTGTAATTTTGGCACAGGTGATTTGAGAACAAATGTTGCTCTTTTTGGTGTGTTTTCTGTGATGACTTAGCTCACTGTTCTTTGCAGGTAGGGGCTTATGTACCAGCAGTATCCTTTAATCTTTCTCCTGTTGACAAGATCTTTGTTCAAATGGGTGCTAAAGATAATATTATGTCCGGTCAAAGTACATTTTTAATGGAGCTCTTAGAAACTGCATCTATGCTGGTGAGATATCATTCTTTGTAAATGCAGTTTATCTTTCGTGACGTCATGAGTCCTGGCTGCAATTCATTACTTCTTAGATAGTAGATACACATATGCTGCCAAAGACCTTGTGGTCGAGTGGCAAAAATATGGCTCTCCCAAATGGGAGCTCAAAGGT